CTGAGATTTTAGATAGAGTGTCAATGGTCCATTTGAGGGATAGGTGGCGGTAATGCACTTATAAGTCTGCGATCAGCCGTAAAGCAAGAAGAAGAAGAAGAGGTGTCACGTGCCGGCTGTCGAGGATGCGCTCAGGACAGTTCAGACATTGCAGTGCATCAGAGGTAAAAAACTATATAAATACTAGTGGTGGGTGGTATGACCAAAAATTTATATCACGGTATTTTCCAAAATTATACCGGTTTCACGGTATATGACGGTATTTATTTATTTTTTTTTCCATGCATGACCGGGTGTAAACCACATTTTCTACTGATTGAGAGAGGAAATAGGCTACTGCAGTAGATTGACTTAGAATGCCCTATTTTACTGTCATGATGAGTGAATATTGTAGAAAAATTCCACTCTAAATAGTGACAAAACACGACTCATTTATACATGTTAACCAGGAGTATTGCATGTACAGTAGATGCATGTTGAGCAGCTATGCGGTGGTTTTGGCTATATTACTTTTTTGTCTCATGCAGCGCACTGCCTGCGTCTGAGTAACAAAAAATAAATAAATAAATGTTGCATTATATTAATAGACGAACTATGCTCATATTTATAATTCCAAACAGTCAGTAAGCGACAGGTGCTATGAAACGCTGTTTTGTACTCATTTATTGACGAGTCTGCTGTTACTCTCAAAGCCGTGATTCCCATTCACTTCCATTATAAGACTCACAGACTGCAGCGGTTTGAGTTAAAAATATTCGTTTGTGTTCTTCTGAAGAAACAAAGTCACCTACATCTTGGATGCCCTGGGGGTAAGCAGATAAACATCAAATTTCGTTTTTGGGTGAACTATCCCTTTAAATACTGTGGTATAAAGTTAATTCAAGACAGGGTAAAATACCCATAATACCTGATACAATAATAATCTGATACAATTTTAAAGCTGCTAAGTGGGTTGTAAGTATTGAACTTTTTACTTAATTATTTCTAATTGTAATAATGTATGATTTTGATATCACTCAGACCTTGTAGTGCATTATAAAAGTATTTAAAAAAACACAAACTACCTCCTAGCTCAGCCCGCCTTTTTATCTCCATTTTGCCCCCGGATGCATTTCTAATATTCAAACAAAGTTTGTTTTTCACTTCATTAACTAAAGAATGTTGTTTTTTCCCATTTTTATTACTTTTTCTTACAAGAGAACAGAAAATTATGGGGAAAAGAGAGGATTTGGAAATCTTTTGGAGCTAGATTCGTACAGAACTGACTTAATTGTGTGCTAATCGCTAGGGCACAACTCCAACCTAACTAGTCTAAAAAGTGGTATGCTATTGTTTGGCAATGTTTTGAATACATATAGCCGATAACAATAGATGAATCTGATTCAGACAGTAACGAGCAGTTAAATTAATTAAACGCTGCCTATTGTGGTTTCCACCAAGCATAACAGTTGCTTTTAAAGTGGCTGGAAAATTGGCTAGGTGGTGAAGTTTTATCCCAAGAATATACAGAATGGCGCAATCAGCTTGATCTGTAACTCTTACGAGGAATTAAAGAAGGGAAAAACTAATTTCACACTCTTTTTACATTGGCAACTGGTTTGTTTGGCGGCCTGCCTGACTTTTAAAAGGGGTTTACACTCAAACGCCTGTAATTATAGAGTTAGAGAACTGTTCTTCCAAAGTTTGTCTCGTTTCTGCTCTCTTTATTTGACACTGGTTGATTGACACCAGAGACATTTGAAAGTTTAATGTCTTAACCCCCAGCAGGTAACGTGTTGAGATCTTGCGTGTGAAATGTCGTGGCGGTAATGAGACTTATTGAGCGTCAGCCCGAGGCGTCAGGGTGTGACGTCCCACCTCCCCAGCCAAATCGGTTGACTTCAAAACATCAACAGAGACCAGTTTGTGGCAGTAGTGGCTGTGCTGAAGATCACGCAACACGCAAACAGCAACAAAAAGACCAGTGAGGTGCATGATATGACATGTCTAGTCCTGCTGGAGGAACAGTCAGAGTTTAGAGCGCACACATCTGCTGCCCCCGGCTATAGACCTGGGAAACACTTACCAGGAAGTACAGTGACAGAGATGTAGTTACATGAAGAACTTTAATGGAAAAAAGAGAACAGCATCAAGGATTGACTTCAGTTAGGATTATAGAATTAACTTCAGTGATAATAATGCGAGAGATAATAGACAGGTGTTTTCACACTCAGTCGTTGTTGTCTCAAAGTGTACATTTTAACTGCTGTAAATGCTCTGAACATTGGACTTTTAACTTGCAATATGCATGCAAGGTTCACTTTCTTTTTTTTATTGTGTTATAAAATATGTATATTATATAATATACTGTATGTGTACATTACAATGATAATGTACCTCAATGAAAACAGGTGCAGAAAATCAGGTTTTGTGGGAAATTTCAGTTGACAGCATTTCTTCAAATTTGGCAACTACACAGAAATGTAAATGTTTTTTAAAAATTTAAAATGAATAAAGAAATTAAATGTTTTTTTAATTGAAATGTTACTGTAATATAGTATCATTTTAATATTAAATTAAATTATTATATTTGTGTAAATGCAAAGTGGACTGAGACTCTTTCAAAGCCAGTGGGACAATTTAAATGCTGGCAGAACTGTGTTACTTTACACTTTTATGGTTCAATGAAATGTTTGGTTATTTGAAGAGGACTCAAATAATGAAAGAATGAAACCGAAAGCAAAGCGCATATTAACGTAAGGTGAATGGCAAGTTTTTCAGCCAATAAGATAAGTCGTGCTGTGCATAATTTGCATATTGCATCAGCTACATCCTGCTCAAACACAGTCAGCAGTCCAGTATAAAGTATATCTGATTAAACCGTTTAATGCCAGCATTAAGACGGTTTGCACAGTCTTAATGCAGTTTATTTTAATATTTCAGTCACTGTTGACTCACAGGGTCGATTATGTTAATAGCAATTATGTTATTTCAGAGTTTCCGACTCATTAGATAATGTGACCTTTTATGTGTTTATGGGTGGGCGGGTTAATGGTTGTATCATTGCGATGTAATACATAATCTAACTAGTTTATCGGCTTGTGTAATCAGAATTATTCAGATAGTAATTTATCATAGAGGCTGTAAGTAAGCCAGTCTAGTCTATGCCTTTCCCAGATGTTTACTTTAACTGTTAGCAAGTGAATAGTTGGATTGTCTCAGATCAGTGATTAAATAAAGCTTTTTTTTTTGGCTGTGCTTCTCAGCTGTACATGTGCTAGCCCAAAAATGTAGCATCTTTTTTAAGTTTTCCTTTCCTCAGCTGTGGAATTTTAAACTATTTTAAACTTTAAAATAAATTAATTTTAGCTAGATGAAGAAAATAAAATAGCTTCCAGAGTGCATTGCTTTGTTGATCCTAATAGGATCGATTTAGTTTTGAGAACTAATCTTGCTGTGCTAAACACAGATAATGAGTGCATAGGCTTGAGGGGTTGTGGAAGAGCTGGTTTTTCTGGCACCCTTTCTGTAGAAAGGGGTTTGTGTGAGCAGTCTCTTGATGAATGTGCAGTACTGTCGCTGCATGCTGGAGGCTTTCCTGCAGTGATGCATTAGTGTGATTATGCAGAAGCTAAGTAATTGACCTGTTTAAAAAATTGGGGCCGCAGCACTAATTCCTCAAAGCACTACAGAGGTTTATAGTTTGATACTTCATATATATATTTATATATATATATATATATAGCAGCTCTATTCCTCTTGTTTGAATTCTTTAAATAAATTCCCTAAATGTTTGTATTTAGAGAGCAAATGCTACTCGGTCAAGATGTCTGTATGTGTCCTGTCCTCCCTTCTTCTGGGTCAGAATGGCCTGATGCAGGTACAAGGCCTGTGCTGAAGGAAACTAGGTCAAATGTGCTTCAAGTCACAGATCGTGAGTGCAGTAACGTAATTACCCACCTCAGTGGAAAGAAATTTCTGCCATTATGTACTCACCTTCATGTCATTCCAAACCTGTATGACTGACTTTCCTTCTTCTGTGGAAGAACATTTGCCTATTTTCCATGCTCTTTTCCATGCCATTACAGTGCAACTGACTCTTTCAAGCCTCAAAAAGCATGCAAAAGCATCATAAAAATAGCCCATATTACTTGTTCACTAAGTCTTCTGAAGCCATATGAACATCTCGGGCCTGTTCGCACTGAACAGCTTTGCTTTAACATCTTACACCCGACAGGAGCTTTTGGATATTGGTGTGCACTTTTCCAACAGTTTTATCACCAATCCTCGACTCATCCCTGAGATCTCCAGACCACCCGAGACTACGCACTCTACCCGGCCGGGCGGAAGTGCTCCCAGGCAGTACATGTGCAATGACAATAAAGTTGAATCTAATCTAATCTAATGATGCTGTTAGCAAACCATTCTTTTAGTTGGATCATATCAATGAATCAGTTGATAGAAAGTAAGTTGTACAGGTTTAGAACGACATGAGGGTGAGAAATGATGATAGAAGCTTCTTTTTTGGGCAAACGATTCCTTTAATCTTCAATAATGAGAAATCTGCGTTGCTTCATTTGAACCACACATTCCTGTGAAAGATAAGAGGAGTTATGTTGCAAACTGTCTGAGACATGTTACAAAATGAAGCCCATTCAGCCACTTATTAAAGAAAGAGAGAGGGAAAGACAGGATTAGAGAGAAGAGAACAATGTGATGAAACTGTTATTTCAGGACTCTTAAGCAACATGTTTTTCCTCTTGGCATCACAGCTTCTGATGGTGCTCAGAATGGAAGATTGGGAGATTAAAGACACTGATATTAATTTCCTCTTCTTCTTTTTTTCCTCCAGGAGCGACGAAAGAGATCGGATCGGCTTTGACCAGGATGTGTATGAGACACAGAAGCATTGAGAACAAGCTCAAACTGTTCACCACGTACGACTGTTTAATTGTCTCGTTTTTCATAAGCTCATTAGTTGAATTGGTAATAAAGATTATGTATTATAAAACGCATTAACTGTATGGAGGACTTCAACCTGTGTGTGTGTGTGCGTGTGTGTGTGTTTGTGTGTGTGTGTGTGTGTGTGTGTGTGTGTGTGTGTAGGGCTCTCATGGATAACTTGATCACTCCTCTGGAACTGAAAATTGAAGAGTGGAAAAAGGTTGCCAGTCAGCTGGATAAAGACCATGCCAAAGGTATCGGCCTCCTTCCCTATATGATATAATCAGAATTCAACAGGTTTAGTATTTAATCTTTGTGTGGAAAAAGGTCCTGTAGGGCAGGAGGTAAAGTATCGTTTTAATCCTTTAATGGAGGTTTTTCAAACTAAGTGGGTTGATTTTAAAGGTAGCGTTCACCTGAAAATGAACAATTAATATTCAAGCAGCATAAAAACAACTAGAAGAACAGACTGTTCCATACAGAGTGTTCAAACTTTATCTATTAATAATATACAAAAACCATTTAATTGTTAATTCAAATGTTAATGGAATCCAGTATTTCTTTATCCTTTTGAGATGAGAGTTAATTATACTATGAAACTGTTTACATAAGTCTTAAGAGTGCAGTAACAAAGAGGAAAATGGCCATAAAACCTGAGTTATGATTGTTATTGGCACAAAAAAAACTTGACCTCAGTGCAAAAAAAAAAAAAAAAAAGTATATCACCACCCCTCCCCAACACGTCTGTCTGAGGTTGCTAAGGGGTCGTTTCATTTGACATCACTGTGAATCATTTATTAGCAGTGCTCGCTAAGGCAGGCAACGTTGTTATTGTTGCTGTTATTTAAGATTAGGGATTTGAACCACTGCCTTTATTGACATTTAGCTTTTGCTTCCACTGCAGAGGCTAATGTTCTTCTTTCCCTGCCTTTGTTGTTGTTTCTAGAATATAAGAAAGCACGAGCAGAGATCAAGAAGAAATCTTCAGATACGATTAAACTGCAGAAGAAGGTTAAAAAAGGTAAGAACTGATGCTTATCATTGAACGAATGTCACTGAGGTTGAACACCTTGGGTAAATACTGTCTTAATTATGTTCTGTGAGTTGCAACATATGAAGTCCTGTTGTCTTGTTACACACTCGCACACTCTTTCTCAAATTACTGCTTCAGATCTCTTTGTCTAAACACAATAGGACATGCCCGTGACTTCTGCTGGCGCCACACCCTGTGTTGTCATGGCATCAACCTTGGCCATCTTGCCCCTGGTCATAATGCGCTTTGAACTGAATGTTCAATTGAAATAGTCCTTCAGTGTTTATTTTTACAGCTTGACCAAAAAACTAGATCTACATGAAAATAAATCAAGTACTGAATGACGAGGCCATGGTTTCACCAACAGAACCTAATACAGTTTTTTTAGAGAACTTCACAATGCCTATAAAAGATCATATGCAGGTCATATTTCACCCCAAAATATTAAATTATATTTTGCATAAAGAAAATAAAGCTTGTTTGTGGAATCATTAAGATGTTATTCTCATAACAGTTAAGCACATTCATCCCCAAATTCTCATTATTGTTGTGCATTACTGTAAAAAAAAAAATATATTGTATTTATACAGCATGGGAGTATTTACTTTGTACAGTCTTTATATTGTTTAAAATAAAAATTGTATTGCAAATATTGCAAGAATTACCAAAAAATCTAAACACTGAAGTTATTTTTGCATTAATTATATAGTATCATAGTATTTATTAATATTTTGAATCAGCTTTTTATTTGTTTATATTTTTAGTTTTAACAAATTAATGTATTTTTCAATCTTTTTTATAATAATTAAGTAATTTAGTATCTACACTTGTATTATTTAATTCTAATTTCTGTCTAGGTTTTAATCTAGTGTTCTGAATTATTTTTAATAGGTTTGGTTTTTATTACCAATAAAAATATTGAGTAAAGCGTGCTATGGTAATGAGAATTTGGGGAGGTGGGAGTATGTATAATTTTCATGGCAGTAATATTGCAATGCAAAAAAATAAAATTTCTTTCTTTTTTTTTTTTTTACAAAATATAAATACTTTCATTTGATTTTAGTTTGAATCATGGTTTAGATGTGACATTAAGCTTTTTGTATTAAATGATTAACAAAGACTTTAAATAAGATTTGAATACTGTTGTGTTGGAATAATTTTGAGAGTGTTGGGATGAAACGAGTTTAAGATGGAGGAAGAGACGTGAGGGATAAATGGAGCCGTGATGAATTGAATACATGTTCTGTCACTATGGTGGGTGTCGTCTGCTTCAGCTGTGTGTGCATGTGTGTGGGCACTGACTCTTCACTTCTGCTCTGGTCTGTTTGAGGGGTCAACACTCCCGCTGCTCTATATTCTGCATCCACCCTCATGCAAATGCTTACTCAACATTTCCAGAGGATGTGCTAAAATGACTTTTGCATTTTCTGTGTGCTCGTACATAAAACCCCTGATCGAACTCCATTTTATGATTTATAAGCTTTCTGGTGCCAAGGACCCTCAAGTATGATAATCTCCTTTCCGAGGAGCCCCTTCCTAATAAATAATGACAGCTATATATAGCTATATATACAAAGTTTGGGGTTAGTAAGATTTAAGAAATAAATGAATACTTTTGGATTAAATTGATCAAAAGTGACAGTAAAGACATTACAGTGTCACAAAAGATTAATATTTCTAATAAATGTTGTTGTTTTGAACTCTATTCAAACAATTCAGAAAAAAAAATCAAGGTTTCCACAAAAATATTAACATTAATAATAAGAAATGTTTCGAAATCGGCATATTAGAATGATTTCTGAAGAATCATGTGACACTGGAGGGACTATATGGAGGGATTTTTTTGTTTTGTTTTGTTGTGAAGGTGGTTGGAATGTGATTGTATGCATTTTTAAGGGGAAAAACTAGCATTTGAGGAAATGAGCAGTTTTTGTCTGAACATTGTCACCAGAATAGTTCATAGCTCAAGGCCACACAAACTCTCAAAGAGGAAAGAGATCCCCCATCCTTCCTTCCATTGGCATGTCATCTTTCCCAACATTGGGAAAACACCCTGTGGTCATACACTCCCTTTCATATGGAAGGGTTCTGCTGCTTCTGCACGATCTGCCTTGTCTTGTATTTAGGAGTAATATGACCTCAGATCCAGTTTGTCTTTTGGTTTTATCAGCCACTTACTGATTATGAAAACTGAAAACTAAAGGGGAATCTGTATAATAAGGCTGGATGCATTTCTTTGGGGAGATCTTGTTGGAATTTATTAGTAGTTCTCTGGCAGACTGTTTGTATCTCCGTGTTTCGATGTAATCAGTGTTCTATATTTGCATTTCCAAATAACTAGTACCCTAGTTTGGTTTACTCACCAAAGCTAATCTCTACTTGGAATTTTACCACATGCATGTATAAAAAAAAAAATGTTACGTTTCCAATAAAAATCATTACTTTTATCTGTTGTACCTCCCACTAAGAGAGCCCTTTACTGTGATGTTAGTCATCTGCAGCTGTATGAGGAAAACCTGGCCTTGTCCTGACAGTCTGAATCACAAGATGAAGTGTTAGCATAAGTGATTCAGAGGCTAGCGGTTTTATATCACCACAGCACACCCATAAACCCCTCCTAGCGCTGTTTGATTTACTGCCATAACTCTCACAGATGGTGAGACAATGAAAATAAATATGGCGTCTAGACCTATGATGCATCTCGGAGTGCACATTCATCATTATATCTTGCATTTGTGTTACTCCGAGGTCTACGGGGGCAGACTGCTCTGAAGACTTGGACCCGTCTGTGAGGGGATTGTGAAGAAAAAGAGCACTGGATCTGAATTATTAAAACTCATGCACATTAGTATTCCAATGCCATTGCTGCTGTGTTTGAGATGGTTTGAAGATCCAGTGCTCTGGACTTTCTGGCGTCTGAATTAACTACATCTTTAAAAATGAATTAAATTGTTTTAAACGTCTAGAATTTGCTTGTATTTCATCTCAGATTTAATACATTGATAAATGATTTCATCTTTTTATTTGTCTGTTATTTAGACCTAGTATGCTAAATTATATACAGGCCAGGTATATTCACATGTTGCTGTGCACTCGTTTGAAAATGAAATCCTCGGGGGCCCTTAGTCACAGATCCAGTGCAGTAACACTGGGGGAAGTCGTGGCCTAATGGTTATAGAGTCGGACTCGTAACCCAAAGGTTGCGGGTTCAAGTCTCGTACCGGCAGGGATTGTAGGTGGGGGGAGTGGATGTACAGCGCTCTCTCCCACCTTCAATACCACGACTGAGGTGCCCTTGAGCAAGGCACCGAACCCACAACTGCTCCCCGGGCGCCGCAGCATAAATGGCTGCCCACTGCTCCTGGTGTGTGTTCACGGTGTGTGTGTGTGTTCACTGCTGTGTGTGTGCACTTTGGATGGGTTAAATGCAGAGCACTAATTCCAAGTGTCACGTCACTTTCACTTTTTCACTTTTAACAACTACTAGGTGGAGGCTAACCATCATCATCATCATCATCAGTAAGGTTCCTTTGCCCTACTTCTCCCAGAAAACCTGCACACCTGCCTCCTCCTGCATGTGTTTATGGAGAGAAGGTGTCTGCTCATGACATCATAGCTTCCAACCGCTCGGGATTTCTAGACCTCAGGGAATGTCTCTGTGGTGCACACACCTTTGTCTGAATGGCTCTGGGTTATTTTCCCATCACCTCCCTTTTCTGTTTTTAAATTAGGTTTGTTTTTGTGTTTAAACGGCTTAAATGAACTAAACACTAAAGCTGTGTTACTTTTCTAAAATGTGCATGGGTCATTCCACTTGGTTCTACTTTATATAAAATGCATAATTTCCCATAGATTATAGATAATTACCATTTTAACTATTTCCCCGCCATTGACGAGTTATCTCGTCTTTTACAAGAAAACGCTTCCCCTTCCAAAGACGAGTTTTGACTGTTATACACTCGGGGGCGCTATTATGCATCTTCAGAACGAGTACAAAACCTCCCGAACAAAAACACACGTAAACAGGACGGAGAAACGAGCGATCTCTTATGTAAACAGATTCATATGAAAAATAATGCGATCATCAGCAATAGACAGCATATAAATGAAAACTGCATAATGTTACAGAGTAAAATGTTGATCCAGGAAGTGGTATATGTCTGTGCAAGCTTTGGAGGTGTTGATGGAAGCGATTTACTGGATTTATGCTTTGATAATCGTACTGAATATTATCCAGATGTAGTTTTTGATA